AATTGCATTCATCGAAGTGCTGCACTGCCTGGCTAGCCAGTAAAGGCCTTAAAGATGAAACAATAATGACATGGCTTCCTTCCTCATCTGACCTAAACCCTATTGAGGTTCCTTGTGGGCCCTTCTTAAACGGGTGTTTTATGGCGAAGGAAAACAGTAGTGTCTGGGAGGCTGTGGTTGCTCTTGCACAAAAAGTTGATTGTCAACAGATCAAGAAACTGGCAGACTCACTGAATGTAAGGCCTATGACTGTTATTGAAAAGTGGCTGTATTGGTCACTGGTTTTTTTTTTTTTGTTTGTTTTTTTGAAATGTTAGAAATGTTTTTTTGTAAATTTTGAGTTGTTTATAATTCTTACTTTAACAGATAAAAATAAACAAGTGAGATGGGAAAATTTTCATTTAGGTGCATAATAATTCTGTACACATAGATATTCTCCTAAAACAGCCAAAACCTCACTTTTACTTTCTTAAATATTCAGGTTTGAGGTTCATTAACTTTTTGGATTGACCAGAACACTGTAGTTGTTCAGTAATTAAATTAATACCTAAAAATACAACTTGCCTAATTAGTGTGTGTATGTGTAGAGATAGATATTGAGTGAACATGCATAAGCCAGTGACAAGTCCATTTGCACATTAAAAGGGAAGTCATCAAGATTGACAGAACTCCTTGGTTACTTTTATGCTGATTCTAAAAATGTTAATTGGCCAAATGGGCGGTTGGTTACTGTCTTGGGGAACAAGGGTTATGGACACTAAAGTTGGCCTTAGCTAGTCTTTTCATCTTAACAACAAGATCAAAAGTGTTTTTCAGGGGGGAAATTTTCTTTTAAAACAAAGATCATAAGCTAGTAGGGATTATTCATTTTAAAGCACAGATCTAGATCACACACTACTGTATGCATGGAAGCTACCTAGGTGCATATTATAGATGGTACATATGCTGGATTGTGTAGTATCTCTGTGCTTGATATGAAATATTTTAAATGGGACTCTGAGGGATGTTGTTTATTGTAATATTTACAAGTATTCTACTGGATTTTGTCATCTGTTGCAAGTATCTTGTGACTGTTCTGGAATAAAGGAGCAGTAAGACAGTCTGGACTGTCCTAATAAATGTCTCTCTCTGGAATACAATCAATTAACTTGTTGCTGCGGAGATACTTATTAAGCCCCATCCCTTGTATATGACAACCATTAGTTTGAACTTTCCTCCTGCTAGTCTGAGGTCATGTCTCTGTGTTGTAAATTGCAGCTTTATATTGAAAATAGTGTCCTCCTGAACCCTATTCACACCCTTATCTGGTGTCCATATTGGAAAGATTAGCCCTCGCCTCCAGGCAGCACAGGGAGTGATTGGACATTTCTCCAATCAGGACATAAACAGCAGCATATTCTCTGTAGGTGTTCTTTTTTATTATGAATGCTGGAGCTGTATAAATGTAGTGTTTTTTTTCTTGGCCGAGACTACATTTTCTGACCATGTATTTATTTCCTTACGGTCTACGTCCTGCCATTTGTCATATATGAATGCTGAGGGCTGCCTACAAATCTTCCCATCCCATGAAACCTAAACATAGGTGTAAAAGTACATTTTAGCCTTGAAACACATAGAAAGGAGCACAGCTCACCTGCTTCGGGAATTTAAGCCCATCCCCCCTGCACAGATCATTTGTTTCATTAATCTCTTTATACATTACTCCATCAGTCTTCTGGTTTGTTGTGTGACATCACAGGTTCAGATATGTGAGTAATATTTTGAGCCCTGGTTGTGTGATAATGTCCCCCTATCCTGGGCTCAAGGAAAGTGGGTTGAATGATGCTGACCATTATTTATCAAGAAGACTTGGGACATCTAATGGACAGGCAGGAATTACTGCAGAGTGCAAATCTGGATTTAAAAATAATGCAGTAAAACCTGATTTTTTTTTTTTTTTATGTTTAACACACATGGCCTTTGAGTTTTTACAGTTTTTAAAAAGGCATTCTACGTTATCTGCAGCTGCAAGGTTTACAGTAAAGCATTAACGGTTCATTCATTGGTTTTGCTTGTTGCTCGGAATTAATCTTCAGCCTAAAACTGTGACAATCAATAGAGGGGAAGTTTGAAATGTCAAAAATAAGGCTTTCTTTCACAAAAGATTTATTGATTTTTTTTTTTTTTTTTTAATGGCAGAAGATGCTGTAGATATCCATGGAAAAGAACATACATAAAAGGGGAAGGCAAATTAGCGACAAATAAACATGAGTGTGTCATAAAATATGGGAGTACCAGAAGTCAACAGTAATGAGATTAGACTGGAAAGGGGGAGAGATCACATTTTGTAACCAAAGTGAGAAGGTCAGGTGGGGGCCACTGTGGTATAATAAGATACTAGGGTGTTTCTTGCAGGGGAAAGGGGGGGGGGGGGGGGGAACTAACAGCATGAAGCATGTTTACTGCTTTAATATGTGACTGGGGTTCCATGTGTCATCTATGTCAGTAGAGTTTTTGTGCTTACAGTATAACTAAAGGCAAAACTTTTTTTGCAGTCTGTTCCCCAAATTTTGGGTTGTCCCCAGAGAAGTAATAGAGGGGAAAAGGGGACTCTAGTTTTGGTGACCTGGTGGTCCCCAAAAAACTCTCTTAAAGTGTTATCCCACAACGGTAAAATCAGTCTGTATATGCAGTAAAGCATGCTTGTTATAGTCACTGTGGAACCTAAGGGGTTAATCCTCTGCATTATATAAAGAGGCTGTTTGATCCTGTTTATTCTGCCCCTCCTCTTGTTCAAATGTCCACCTGATAAGACAGACTGAACCGGTAGCCTTGGGAGAGTTCACGTGATCAGAACAGGGCCAATCAGCCCTGCCCAGACAGAGGGTCAGGGGTTCTGCATCCTCCTAGAGCAGAAAGAAAACTCCTCCTACAAGCTTTAACCAGTGCTCTGCTGAAGTCAACAGACTGCTCTAACTGCTGATGAGAAAAGGTATTTAGCAGGTTATATTTACTAAAATAATTGCATTTCCATGTTCTGTGTACTGTGGGAGTACAGGGTTTGCAGGGCTTATCTCTCACTTCCTGTTTTGGATATGAGAGAGGAAGTGAAGATAAATCTCCCTAATTGGACCCAGATAACAAAAAGAAAATGATCGGTTATAATCCTCCCTTTTCTCTCCAAATTTTAATAGTTGCTGATTGCTTCTTTGCTGTGTCCTGTAGAATCCTGTAGAAATATTTATTTTCATGAGGATGTGCAGCCAGGACGTTTATTGAAAATTTTAAATATATTGTGTATTTTTTTTTTTTTTTTCTTTTTGCTCATTTTTTTTTCCTTCCTCTTGGAAAATGTCGTCCTGTAAACTGGGCTATATAGCAGTAGGAACATAGCTTGTCAGCACAAGGCTTTTGTTTTTCCTCTGGCCAGTGCTCGAATACAGCAGGCAACTTGCCTTGTAAAATGCTTTGGCAATCAGTAACCTGAACATTTGGAAACCGGAGTTTCTCAGCTCTGCTCATCAGTGTTTTTACAGTGTACCATAACACAGACATGATCATTTAGGGTCCATGCACACTAGGCAGTTGAAAAAATGCCAGAACCTCTGGCAGAAAAAGCAGCATAAACAGTACTCATAGCGGCTCGTATTCCATAAGTGTTTATGCACGCTGGTGGGAATTTGCTTTTATAAGTGGTTTTTCAAAAACATTCTCCTCTGTTCATTTTCACTATAATCAATATGCACTTTTAAACACTGAACGCTCTTAAACTCCTGGCTTATACACGTTTAGGTGTGTTTGTGTATCAAGCTGTTTTTTTTTTTTTTTTCTGGCCAAAAGCTCCTCTCAAAAATGCACGCCGGATGTGTTTTTTTTTTTTTTTTTTTTTTTTTTCAAGCCTTAAAACACTCCTCTGCAAATATGCCTGTAAACTCCCAAATGTGAATAGGCAAATAGGCTAAGAGAGAGCTGCTTCTACAGACTGAAAAAAAAAAGCCCACTAGAAGAGCTTGTATAAGCAGAATTTTTTATGCCCAGTGTGCATGAGGCCTTTGAAATACATTACAGTATTCTTAAAGCGGAGCTTCATCCAAAAGGGGAAGTTCCACTTTAAGGGCTGCCCCCCGCTCCCCATTAAGGATTGACACCTTTGAAGGGTGGGGGGGGGGGGGGGGGTAGCGGGTACCCTAATTTGACAGGTACCCGCTTCCACTTCCGGTCCGATCACCTAGGCAATCGGAAACGGAAGGTGTCCTTCCTCCCTGCTGTCTTTTGGGACATGTGACAGGTCCCAGAAGACTACAAGACCATTCATGAAGCACAGCAGTGAAGCCTCAAGCAGTCACAGCCAGGTCTCCGCACTGAAGATGCTGGCCTCCAGGAATACAGAACGGCTGGTGAAACGGGCTGCGGGGGACACACCGAGGGACAGATAAGTGGCTGTTTTTTTAACAGCAGCTACAGTTTTTTTGGAGCTGCTGACTTTTATTTTTTGACAGGGTGAGCGTGAGCTGCTTTTACCTCCAGGGGGCGGGGGGGACACATAGCATTACTTATAAGGGCATCACAGACATAGAAAACTTCCCCAGTGGGGTCTCAGATGGAAATAAAAGCCTGAATGGAATTTTAGAGCTTTACCACTTCATCCAAAACTAAAAATAAACAGTATGACTTGGCTTGGGTTCTATATCACCTGCTCCTCCATGTAAGACAAGAAACCTGCTTTTCCAATAAACAATGGCTCTTAATCTAATTATATTGCACATTGGGAACCCATGGAGCGGTGTGAACATGACATTTCAGAAACGGATATCTGTGATTGGGATTACAGAAATATGAAACAGTGGCTAATTCAGTGTTCTTGCCTTTGACTTTGTATTTAAAGAGTAGCTCATCCTCTCCTGCAGCTGCCAGCTCCAATCTGTTTGGCTATTATTTATCTCCATGGCAGTCTGCGGACTTTTCATTCATTTCTTCTTCTCCGATTACTAAGTGTCCTTGCTGTGTTTTTGTTCCGGCAGGTACAAGGAGGGCGGAGAAGCTTTGCTGGTTCTGTTGCCATCTGAAGTGAAGGGGATGGCCCGACAGCTGGAGGAGAAAAAAAGTGCCCATTAACGAAATCAAGTATGTATTCATCTCTGCTGGGATCACTGACCACTGTTTGTTTTCTTGATGAACGAACTTGGCAGAAAACGCAAATGCACGCGGACTTAGAAAAGTGCAGATAAACCTGGAATTGTGATAAAATAGATGTAAACCCTAAATAAATGACAATTAATTTGCTTAAAGTGCAACTAAAGGCAACACTTTTTTTTTTTTTTTTTTTAGTTTTGGATAGAGTGAAGAGGGATTAGAGCTCCTGTCTGTGCCACCTGTTAGGGAGATTCACCCTCTCTGTTTGTCCTGTTTACCATTATCATGTAAAGTGAAAGAGACCCCAAATATTGGGTTTTCCCCAGAAAAGTCAGAGGGGAAATTTTCCAACGGGGACACTAGTTTTTAGTGGCCTGGCGGTCCAAATAAATTGGCTTAATTTGCACAGATTTTCTCACTTCCTGTTTTGGCTATGGAACAGGAAGTGAAGGTAATCTTCCCCAATGGGACACAGATGGCAAAAAATAAACTGACGGGTTATAACCCTCCCTTACTCTATCCAAAGTGGAAAAAAAGGTTTTGCCTTTAGTTATACTTTAAATCACTGTGTATTTTAAGCAATTGCCTTTTTTTTTTATTAAATAAAATAAGGTTTTTAACTTTTTTTCATTCCTTGTTGTGTCCCAGTGCTCCCCACTGTATAGTTATTTGTGTAATTCCTAGAGTTCGGATTTAAAAAGTTATTTTCAGGTAATTGCCCCTGTTTTAAAAAGTGGTCCACATTACTTCTTAAAGTAGAGTTCCAGCTGAAAAAAAAAAAAAAAAAAAAGTCATCAGCTACAAAAACTGTTGCTGCTGACTTTTAAAATACAGCCACTTACTTGTCCCTCGGTCCAGTGGTGTCCTCACCACAGCTGGTTTCACCGGCCATCTTCTCTCTCTGGCGCCGGCATCTTCAGTGTGGGCACCCGGCTATGACAGCTTGTGGCTTCACAGCCGGGTGCCCACTGCGAATGCGCTTTGTGAATATCCCTGTAGTCTTCTAAGTGTCCCATAAGACTACAGGGAGGGAGGGGGGGAGGACAACTTCCGCTTCCAATCGGCTTAGGCGACCTGTCAAATTCGGGTACCCACTCCCTCCCCGCTCCCCAAAGGTTCCAATCCTTAATGGGGAGCGGAGGACAAAGACTTAAAGCAGAACTTCCCCTTTTGGGTGGAGCTCTGCTTTAAAGTAGAATTTTGCCAGAAGTGAACTCCGCCTCCCAGGTGGTGTCGCTCCCCCCCTTAAGTGCAACCACTATGGTAGAGGCACGGCGTATTTGCAGATGTGGGTGGAGATACGCTTTAACTATCTATCAAATTTTCCATTTACATCACTAAAGCCTCATACACACTGGATGGTTACCCCGTGTTTGTCAGATCCTGGCATATTCGTTTGCCTGGTGCATCTGCATGCAGTATTCAGAGTCCAGCCATTGTGGGTAGGGCTCTGTGTGTTTTTTTAGAGATGTATGCTGAGACCACATAACTGTTATGAGCATACGTCACTGAACACATTCTGCCCGACATGCAAGCGCCAGTTGATACAATGTCCCGCTGCAGAATATATTAGCCTGTCATACACAGCAGGCAGCAGCTGTTTTTCACACTAGGCTCCTGTTTTTATTTAAAATTCAGATTAAATTTTTGGAAAGGATGAACAAAATGTTTACTTCCCAGATGAAGATCTCTTGTGTATAACTGTGCTTGTGTTTATGTGCATTTCTGTGAAATTATATGCGTTTTGAGGCGGTCAGAATATCTAATCTGCCTCTGGATGCACATAATTCTAAACAGAATGTACCTAAGGGCTAGTTCACACTAGATGCAGTTCAGTGCGCTTTTTTTTCTGCGTTAAAAATGCATGCACGGTGTTCTGCATGTATTCCAGTGGCCCTGGTTCATACCAGGGCAGCCAGTTCCACTCAGTTTCCGGTGTAGAAAAAAAAAAAGTAAAACATGCTGCATTTTTTCTGCACAGAAGCATACTGGAACATGGTGAACTGTAAGCAAAAACGTATCCGGATTGCATCCAGAGTTCATTTTTGTAGTGTGAACTGGCCCAAAAGGAAGTTAAATGCACATTGTTCACCCGCTCTGAGTAGCACAGCTGTCAGCTGCAGCCTAAAGAAATATGCTGCAATAAAGAATAATAGCATTTTAGACTGGCATTTTACATACAGGTAGCTGCAAAGAACCATGGGATTTGTAGATTCCAGGTATTAGGTTTCCAGTTAAAAAGACCTCATACCTGACATCTCTTTTAGTATCCTTGTGAGGTTTATGTGCTTTAGTGGGCTGCAGGTTTCATCTAGGGATGGTGGACTATGCTGTTGACTACAAGGTTTGGCAGATCTGACGGACAGGTTGTGGGGAAGGGGTGGCGACAATGGAGACACAGAAAAGCTTTTTCTTTATTTTTTGTAACTATGCTTTAAAGAACAGATATCATTTGCAATCTATTCAATATAGTGGCTGTGTACAGTGGCTACCCCTTTGCCCCAGTTCTTTTACATCTGCTCCATTGTCTCTTGTTAGGAGGCTTGCATGAGAGAGATTGTTCCTTTTAATGGCTTCCTCCTCTTGCTTAGTAACAGATTAAAATGCAAATTTTAATGATTGAATAATGCAGACTACTTTACTATTATTATTCATCATCATTATTATTAAAGCTAAAGACTTTTCCCCCCAATTATTAAAATTAAAACCTTGTAATATGCTAAAAGCAAGATTACGCATTATACACTAATTGAAAAACAAATTAAAAATAAATTAGATTGAACAGCTGAATTACAGCATTATGTCAGTTTTTCTATAACTCTTATTCATTATCATATGTTCTCTGCTTCATTTTTCAGAATTAACCCTGAAAAGCTGTTGGATGTACAAGGGCGGCTGGAAGCGTTTTTGGCCCAGGAGCAGGAAATGAAAGAGAGGGCGCAGAGGGTATGTGTGCAACATCGAGATAAGTTGCTTCGCTTGGAAATCAGTTTTTTTGAAGAACGATCAATGAGTTTATATTTAGCTATCCGACATAATGTTAAACCGGTATTAGAAGCCCTTTAACCAGCAAATCCAAAGTAAGGCTTTTTTTTTTTAAAGAAAGCAATTAGAATTTTGTCCAAAATACAAAAATATGATTGATTTAATCATTTTAAATGACCCCCATGGGGTTCAAATCTGGCAGGGCAGGACAGACCACTAAAAACAAAAAGACCTCCAAAACACAAAAAATGGCAATCAGCGCAATTGTACAGGGGTTACAACGAGATTGAGTTCTGCAGTCACTTTTGCAGCAGTTGTTTTCCTGTTCTAGGTCACAATCCTGCACAATATCCTTTTGTCTCGGGGATTTGACCATCTCAACCGTGTTTATGCTTGTTATACAATGGTTTCCCAGAAACTGTCTGTGCTGTCATAACCTCTGATACCTCATGACACGGGAAAATAAATTGGCAGCTTCAGTCACAGAGGCCCCAGCTAAGCGGCACCAACAATTTGCCCTCTTTTGAGCTCAGTAAGCTCTGACAGCACTCCGTATTACTAGCAGTGCACGCAGTGAATAACGGAAGTGAGACTTCCCAGCTGTTAGCTAGGTGTCTTATCACACAGCGGAAGCAAAAAAAATGTCACATCACTTTTGTTTTTAACGTAAAACATTGTATCCCTTTCACACATACAAATCATGTAGAGTTTTTATTTTTTTGGCTAATTCCTGTAAGCACCAAGAGACAGAAGTAGTAGTGCATTGGGGCAATGGCATCTGTTCCAGAATATTCTCTCACCTCAAGGAGGGAAAGAGAAGTGGAAGGGCAAAGTAGATGGGATATGCATGGGAAGGGTGAGCTAATATGGAGGGTCAGTTTAGGAGACTAATAAAGTTCTTGAAGACAAAGGGTTCTTAATGCAATAGCAGACTTAGGCCTTAGGTGCAAGTAGGGTTAGTGGTTGCAGAGGTGGATAGTGGAGAAATTTAGTTTTTGGTGATTCGTTAGAGTGAATGGGGTGTCCAGCCACGGTGCTCAAGACTTTCAAAAATTTGATTAGGCATCCTCCTTTGTGTTTCCTGGGAAAGGGGATGATTGGATCCGTTAAGGTTTTTTTCTAGCATTGCAGTGTAGGAAGTTTAGTCTTTTTCCAAGCGATCGGGATAGCTCTACAGGCATAATGTAGCAGGAGTTCCACAAAGTATTTTTATATGCTTGTCAGTGCCAAGATATTAACTCAATGTGGGCATTCTTAGATAGTAATCAGGAGGGGGCCACAAAAAGTTGAAATCCAGATAAGATAGAATTCCATTTGCTTTTTTATGTGATTTATTTATAGGAGACCCTTTGTCAGTACACAAAAATCAGTATCGAAGCTTGACTCCAGCAAACGTTTTTAAGATTTAGATAGAGCAGGGAAAAGTGAAAACTTATTTCTGTCTGTAAACCTTTTAAGGAGTTTTTGAAGTTAGTAAATCTTTACAATAAGGAACCAAATGGCAATAAAGTCCTGAAAGATGCTCTAATTCTTCTCTGCTGTATTTCCAAAATTGAATTAATTAAACATTTTGGCTGTAGTCTGGCTTTAAATCTGAATTGCAGAAATAAAAGTGTAATCCAGTAGTATGCTTTAAAAATTCAGATGCAGTACTCATTTATTTCACATGCTAAACTTGTTGAACGACGTATGCTGGCCATACACTATCAATCTCATAGATGTACCAAAACTATATAATATGAGGACGCACCAAAACTGTTCCTTCAGTGTGTATCAAATCAGGCAGGCCCATGCACTTAGATTTAAAGGATATTGTGCAGTCAGATTGTACACTGTGATTGGTCATCTCTGGGCCTTGTGCACACAGGCTCCAACTTGTATAAGAAGAATGTGTATAGCAGGCAGCCAGCATTTTAAAAGCTTCCAGCAAGCTTTGATCAGCATAGTTGAGGCCTTTAAAGCTGAACTCCAGGCAGAAATATTGTGACATTGAGTAA